CTCCCTGTGACCCCCCTCAGAATTTCCCTCCATTACACCCCTGCTCCTATCCATCCCATAAGTCTCCCCTGAATCCCCCTCAACTTCCCTTCAGCACCTCCTGCATCCTTCACCTGCCCCTGCCTCACACATTCCTGTTTCCCCTTAACCCCGTTATCTGCCCCCACCCCTCTTCAGATACCCTCCCAACCCCCTGTCTCCCACATGTTGGAAGCTGGCAGCAGCTTCCCTGGGGCCCGGGCAGGGATCACAGTCAGCTCTGCTGGGAGCAGCCTGGGGCCAAACCCTCCCCCTGCAGCCCTGGGGTACCAGGGGCACCACTCTGGTAGGGAGGGGGGTCTCTCTTACCTGCCCCCCAAGCGCTGCCCACTCTGGGGCAAGGGCTGGGCTAGGCAGGGGCTGGGCAGGCTGGGGGTGCTGCCCTGGGAGAGGCTCCTGGGGAGCAGTGGGTCTGGCCCTGCTGGAGATTCCCTCTCCCAGTTGCATGGGACTCGGGGATCTGGCCCGGAGCCTGGCCCCAGAGCCACTGCAAGCAGCAGCTGTAAGTCGCTTCCTTCTGCCAGGCCTGAGCCAGCGCAAGGTCCTAGGGATATGCTGGGTCCTAGCAAGCAAACCCACTGCACTGCAGCCCCTGCCCCTGGGGGCCCTCCCTCCCCCGGGCATTGGCACAGTCCCCTGCATCAAGGCAGCCTCATGCAGAGAAGCCAACGCAATGCTGGGTGCAGGGAGAAGAGACAATCCCAGGGAGAGGAGAAGGGGGGTTTCTGGGAAGACTGGGCCTCAAGGCATGGCAGAGTGCTGTGGCCCGGCAGCCAGTGGTTCATGGACTGGTGGTTGGGAATCACTGCCCCAGAGAGCTCGGCTCCTGGAAATATTAAACAGCCACTAGCCTGAGGTGGTTACATTTGAGAGCTGGGCTTGCCCTGTTTGTAAAGTATTATTATTCAGAAGGATCATTTGTATCCTAAGAGACCACACTAGGTGCCAGAAACTTTCCAAACCCATATGATTGCCAGTGCCTCCAGATTCATAGGGGTTTGAAAGTCCAAGGGTTGCAAAAGCAACATAATCTGATTCCCTCTGAAGTTGTCTGAGGTGCCATTTTGGATGTCAGCATAAGGTGCTCTCCACCTGCAAGCTAATGACTGACTTTACAGTGGTTCTCAGATAAAAGAGCCCCACATTAGAACTTGGTGGAGCAACTTTCTCCAGTCTGGTATCTGGCAAAGGGTGATGTTACACTCAAGTAGAAAGTGAATGTGTCAGATGCTGACAGGCATTCAGGCTGGTGAAGGGTTTCAATATTCTCTAATAGGGACCCTTCATGGGTGGCTGGTTGGGATGTGTGAGGAAGTGTTTTAATATTGGAGATCTGTGAAATACTGACCTAATTTGCCTTGTACTTCACATGTGAGAGGATGTCACTCAATTTCCTCTTTTTCTTTCCTCTAGGGCTCATAGTCTACCTGGGAATGATGGTGGGAGCTGTTTTTTGGGGTGGCCTGGCAGATAAACTGGGAAGGAAGAAATGCCTCATCATATCACTCACAATCAATGCTGCCTTTGCATTCCTCTCCTCTTTCGTCCAGGGATATGGATTCTTCCTCTTCTGCCGCCTTATCTCCGGCCTCGGGTGGGTAACTGTCTCTTTAATCCCTTAGACTCAGATTTAAGATGGGCAAACTCTTTGTGCTAGAGGCTGCACCGCGATTTGTGATTGCCAGCTGAAGAAATGGAAGGACCAACTGGACAGGTTCTATACAGCATATGTGTGTTATAAATGACATGTTCATGTCTCCCTAGAAGGATCTGGAGTCAGCCAGGGAGAAGACACTGGACAGGGGAATTATATAATTTACAGTTTTCCTTAAACAAAACAATTTAATGTTCAGAAAATTGGTAGATAGCCATGAAGTCTGAGGTCTTTAGCCTCAAAACAGGTGCATGAAAGGAAGCAACAGGATCTGTTCACACTTCAGGATAAGCTTGAGTGGGATGGATTACTACTAAGAGAACTCAGTCACAGAAATCTCAGTCTCCCTGCTGAAACTGAACAAGGGCGCTGACTGAGGACAACTGCAATGTAGACTCTTGTCTATTAGGTAACAGTTCTAAGACCTCCACCCATTTCACATGGGCATGGAACTGCATTATGTTGGTAGCTGCTCTGCATTTAGCCAATTGTATCTATGTATAATCTTATGCTTTTTCAGTAACTAAATATAAAGGTTAAGAGACAGAGAGATGCTAGTTTGCGTTTCAAAGCCACTGACCTGCTCTGAATTTGAATAGGTGATTTAGCAATGAAAGTAGCTGTAGCTCTCCCAAGCCATATAGTCTCCCACATTGCAGCTACAATGATATGGTTTGGCTTGTACAAAGCATCAGGAAGACGCTTCAGGCAAAGGCTGAATGCTAGAGCTCCTCCTTCTTTATAAGTTTTCATGTTATTAATAAGAAAAGAAAAGAGGGTCCATACCCACTCACTTATAGTCATTTGGAACTTGGTCTTTTGTTCAGGAGAGAGAACTTTATCAAACCTTTGACAAGATGCTGCAAATGTCAGTCCCCTTACACCAAAGGCACATCTTCACTCACCGCACCAGAGTTTGACACATTGAGGGCAATTTTCAGAAAGAACTGAACACTGAATTTGTGAAACTCGGTGGCTGTGTCTAGACTGGCAAGTTTTTCCAGAAAATCATCTGCTTTTCCGGAAAAACTTGCCAGCTGTCTACACTGGCCGCTTGAATTTCCGGAAAAGCACTGATGATCTCATGTAAAATCATCAGTGCTTTTCCAGAAAAACTATGCTGCTCCCATTCGGGCAAAACTCTTTTTCCGAAAGACTTTTGCGTAAAAGGGCCAGTGTAGACAGCACAGTACTGTTTTCCGCAAAAAAGCCCCGATCGTGAAAAAGGCGATCAGGGCTTTTTTGCAGAAAACCGCGTCTAAATTGGCCACGGACACTTTTCCACAAAACGTGCTTTTGCGGAAAAGCATCCTGCCAATCTAGACGCGCTTTTCCGAAAATGCTTTTAACAGAAAAATTTTACGTTAAAAGCATTTTCGGAAATTCATGCCAGTGTAGACGTAGCCAGCCTGATTGGACATCTCCAAATGGAGGTCCCCCTAATTATTTTGAAAACATTGGCCCATTTTAAAATGGTTAATTCCACAATGTTTTGTGGAACTTCAGAACCCTTTCAAAAAGTTCTCAACATACCAGTGCTAACTAGCACTTTCTATCCCTGAGTTGTGAGGCTGCTGAGCTACTATGTTGAGGTGGCACAGGAAATGGGGAAGAAGAATAGCAGCATGGATAGACTGTATCAAACCTGGCTTGAGTCACTAGCATCCAAAGGCTATTATTGCATGGTGGCTTGCTGCCCCGGTGAAATGGGTTTGCACTCTCGTGTGCAGTTCTCCAGTTTCTTCGGGCACTAATGTTCACAACACAAAAGCTCTGCTGAGCACATATATGTCCCCCCCCCCCAGGCCAGGTTAATTCCCTTTGTTAAAAATTGAAAGTAAAACCAGCTTTCTGCTTGTGACAAGCTTCCTGTCTGTTCAAGAACAACCTTGTATGGGGAGTTTGATATTCTTCTCTTATGGCTCCTTGAGGTAGAGAGTCCATGAGAATCACTTAAGAATTCCAATGAGTTCCTGAAAGAAAAGCTATCCTCCTGCTGCATGGCTATAAGGGTGCGTCTACACTGCACCGTAGCTTGAAATAAGATCTGCAATTTGAGCTACACATATTGCATAGCTTATTTTGACTGTATTTCGAAATAGCTTATTTCAAAATTTGAAAGCGCTATTCTGAAACGTCTCTTAATCCTGGTCGAATGAGGTTTACAGGGACGCCGGAATAGCGAGCCTGTTATATTACAAAATAACGGGCTTGCTGTGAAGATGCAGAATAGCTATTTCGGGATACTCCAGTATTCCGAAATAGCATTGCAGTGTAGATTAGCCTGAGTCGAGGGACCTTTACTGTATATGAATGTAAACCTACGAGGCTCCTGATGTACTTCTGACACCTGTTTGGCAAAGTCTTTTTTATTCTTCCCATGTGGTGTTTTCTCTCCTCAGCATTGGGGGATCCCTCCCCATCGTCTTTGCTTATTTCTCTGAATTCCTATCTCGTGAGAAGAGAGGGGAGCACCTAAGCTGGCTGTGCATGTTCTGGATGATTGGCGGCATTTATGCCTCAGCAATGGCTTGGAGCATCATTCCACACTATGGTAATTGCTTTGTGCTTTTATCCAGTTATAGCATTGTAGACACTATTGAGATTAGGGCCCTGTACATACTGATGACAGAAACTGATTGATACTTGGGCAGGATGATGGATGATGTCTCCTTAGTGATAAAAGCCTCAAATATTTACACCGGAGCTTGTAAGTGTTGGCCTTTCTTCATGAACAACCAAACCCAGCACCCCAAATCTGCACATCTCCAAATTTCAGGATAGTTTGGCTCAGCTAACTTCATGGCTTATATCTTTTGTATTTGCATCTGCATCTGTAAAAGTGATCTGTGGATATCCACGGATACAAAGTAGATAGTCATAGATTTGCAGAGTTCCAGATCCAAAATTGGTATCTGCATCTGCATCCATAATTGCAAAAATGAGCCACGGATATCCACATCTGTGGATGCAGATACCCTGTGACTATAAAGCAGATATCTGCAGATTTGCAGGACTCTCCTTGTGGCCATGTGGTCTGCAAAACTGAGCTAAGCAGTTATCAATAAAATGTAATTCTGCTGAATGCTAATATCAGAAGTGGGGGCTAAGCATCACAGTTTTGAGGTCAGCTCATACCACCTTATCTTAGCGGGACACCAGTATATCTGGGGTAATTTTTTTGTGAATTTGTCTCCCTAAAACATAAATTTGCTGGGATCACATCTGATTTCTACTGATTTGTTAGTTAATTTGGTTCCACTCTGTTAGTGTCGAATATGGCAGAGAGAAAGGACTTTGAAATGTATGTTATTGCTATGAGGAACAAAGCCCTGCATGCCACGTGGTTTTCTTGGTAATTCATTTGCATCACCTAGGAAAGCATCAGACTGTCAGTATCTATTGAGAAAGATTAATTCCCCTAGTATACAGTATCGCCAGCTGTTGGCAAAATCCTGTTTCAGAAAAGTAGGGCAGTCCAAAAAGATCATCAACAGACACTTCTATCTATCTATCTATCTATCTATCTATCTATCTATCTATCTATCTATCTATCTATCTATCTATCTTCCTTCTAAAATTGTCCTCAGTATTTAGAAAGCTTCAGGTTTTGGCCAGAAACAGACAATCCTGACTGTTGGAACAGATATATAATCTAGAGCTCAGTAGTGTCAGCCTAAAGCACATGCAATATTTGTTATATATATATATATATATAAAATCCAAGCCCTTAAAGGGTAATATTTAAATTTTGCAATGGACTCTCAGTATTGTGTATATCACTTTTTGGAGCATCTGAGCCCCTGCTGTATTTTTTTTCCATTTCAGTTCCATATTGTTTGGAATTCAATTGTATGTGTTTAGCACTGAGATTGATACAGTTATCATTGCTGCAAAAGCTGTAACTTGTTTATTTCAATATTGTGAGAGTCTAAGAGTGTATGTTATAAAGAAACATTTGAAATAAACATCCTCCCTGAGATCTGACTGGGAAGGCAAACAGAGAAAAAGAATTTTGATTCAAGATTTTTTTTGGTCTTTGTTTAAAGTGTGCTTGATCACACCCCCCACAACCTGAAACTGTCATTTGAGTCTTTAAGCATCTGCTCTCAAGACACCCTCATGCCTCTTAATCAGTGATGCATGGGCTGGGCAGAGCATGAGGGAGAGCCCAGAGTGAGCTGTCACCTAAATGCAGTATGAAAAGCTAGGCTCTCCAGTTTGAACCCCAGCTCGACACTGATTTTGTATGTTTTGCAGAAACCATTGTGTTTCACTGCCTCCCACCTTCCTCCTTGGTAAAGTGGGGACAAACTCTTCCTTTCCATATATATTGTCAGGCTCTCTCACTAGTACTCTGAAAAGAAGTATGTATTAGAAATTCTCTGTAATGTTATGTAAGGAGGCCAGGGAAACATGATAAAGTATACCAGTGGATCCCATGTGACCCTTGCTAGGTTCTCTCTCTCTAGATGCACAGTGCCCTTGGTTTTATTGCATAGCTCACTTCAAGCTGTATTTCTAAACTTAAAGGAAGATTTTTAAAAAAACGAGAGAAACTTAATCATCACCCATTCCATTGTCTGTGCTGAGCAGCAAACCCATAGGCAGTTATCCATCTGGTTGTCAGATGGAATCCACAAAGGAATTCATTAGCAGGCCTAATAAATCTTTCATCAGATGGGAATCTGTCAGCCTATCACCATCTTGCACAGAGCACATACAGTCCAGTTGGTATCTGAGTGAGAAAGCTGACTCGGTGGACGGAATTTTCATTCTGGCTTTTGTTGTTCATAGGCTGGGGTTTCAGCATGGGAACCAAGTACCACTTCCACAGCTGGAGGGTATTTGTAGTCGTCTGTGCCCTGCCCTGTATCGCTTCACTGGTGGCGCTTAAATTCATGCCGGAAAGTCCACGTTTTTTGCTGGAGGTAAGATGACACTTCTGACAACCGTACTCCAATATCAGTTCATGAAGGAGACCTGGTCTTCGTATGCTTCTGGCTGTCCCTTCACTGCCCTCTCCCCAGGCCCTCTTATTGCACACCTAGATGTCGGCTTGCCAGTATCTTTTACAACTTAGAGACTCTCTATATGCAGGTACTAATCTCACACATCTATCATATCACTTTTTAATGCTGACATCCACATCGAGCAACAAGCAAGATGTAGATGCTTGGGATGCATAAACGCTGACATCCACATCGAGCAACAAGCAAAATGTAGATGCTTGGGATACATCAATCCATGAAAGGCTTTCTGTATGTGATTCAAACACAGGCATGTACTCTTTGGGAATGTAAGTAGTAGATCTGCACTGGAAGGAGAGTGAAAGGCAAGAAAAGGAGCTGGATAAAATATGTGGGGAGTTGGCTCTTAGACCCAGCAGGGGGAAGTCCCCCACTTACATAGCTAAAAGGACAGTATATAATTATTTACTGTTATTACCTTGCACGTATTCCACATAGCACATTTCACTTGAAGTTGACATACATGGATTAAACCTCACACCTCCTGCCCCTCTCAGGGTATGTCTACACTACAAAGTTAATTCGAACTAACAGATGTTAGTTCGAATTAACTTTCATAGGCGCTACACACGTGAACCGCTAGTTCAAACTTAATTTGAACTAGCGGAGTGCTTAATTCGAACTAGGTAAACCTCATTCTACGAGGACTAACACCTAGTTCGAATTAACTAGTTCGAATTAAGGGCTGTGTAGCCACTTAATTCGAATTAGTGGGAGGCTAGCCCTCCCCA